ACCCACTTTGAGACTAATAATGGCTGGAGACGGCTTGAATGGGTAATGAAGAAAAACTTTAATATAACAGCAAATGTACAACGTTTCGACAAGGTTTTGTTATCTGATGATGACAAAAACTTGTCGAAACGTTGTACATTTGCTGTTATATTAAAGTTTTTCTTCATTACCCATTCAAGGTTTTGTTATCATCAGGTACTGATGATGACAAAACCTTGTCGAAACGTTGTACATTTGCTGTTATATTAAAGTTTTTCTTCATTACCCATTCAAGCCGTCTCCAGCCATTATTAGTCTCAAAGTGGGTTCCTCGTCATCGAAATTGTGTCTAGTAGATGATTTACACTAATATACCTGTTGGTCAATAGCTATCTGTTGCAACGGGGTATATTGACATACCTATTGGTCACGACATTTTGTCCATTGTGGAATACACCTATTTGTCGATAAAATGTTTGTAGTAATTGGTTTTTCTAACAACTTTATTGGTTAAAATATGGTTGAAATTGTAGAGCGACATTAGTATCTGTATTGTTTGAGACATGATGTCCAGTTAGTTATGCAGCAGTTATACTAATGTTCTTGTTGATTGAGATATTTATTACCATTATTTTTATTAGTTGAGATATCTATTTGTATCTGTTATTGGTTGAGATATCTAGTAGTAACTTTCTTCTATTGGTTGAAATATCTACGAGTGTCTACCTATTGGTGGAAGTAGTGGTAGTGATGTAATATTATATTACTAACTGGCACTTATTTTTTAACTGTTTGAATTTCGCTCAAAACTACACGAGAAATATCTGCTCTAACCGTCCGTAATTTAGCAGTGAAAGACTAGAGAAAGATAGCTAGTCATCACCACCCACTGCCAACTCTTGGATCGTCATATTATAACGCCTCCATGGCTGAAAGGGCGAGCATGTTTGGTGGGACGAGGATTCGAGCCCACGACCCCCAGACTGCGAGTCGAGCGCTCTAACTACCTGGCCATGCCAGGCCCAGCTGTAAAGAAACATATTCTATTAATTTCTGCTTTTTTTACTCCCAGAATACACGCTATCAGAAATTGTATTATTCTATGATCAAGGTCTTGATCATTGCGTTTGAGCATTCATAGAATATATGGTATACTGGACAAAGGTCAACAAGATTGTCTTTTTTTTCCTTTGTTGTTGCTAAAAGAGGTCAGTTTCAGAGATAAGGTTAACAATGACATCCAAAGTTTACATGCCATCACAGCGATAAGTCGAACCATACAAATCTAGTCTGATCTCTCTGTGATGTGAAACTATCTTAGCATTTCTGAAATCCAGTTTTTCTGTAAAAGACATTAGTCTGCTGTGTGCGCAGTTTCTTAACTCAAAACATTTAGACAATTTGTGTGATCCACGTAAGTAACAGCGTCATTCCATTCAGGCTAAGTTTTGGTGAGTTATCAAGGATTTTTGTAGCCTTATGTACGATATTCCTAAGACTAGTGTAAGATGATTGTATCTATGTTTCAAAGTATATCCTATCGCTAACAAATATGCTCAGTGAATATAGGAAAGCCACATTTCTGAATTCTAAAGTTCTTGTTAAGATTCGAGTTTATTTGCATCGAAAGCGTTTTATTTAATTGTCTAAATCATCTTATTATATATTAAGGTCCAAGTTCCATCATGAAATTGTTTTCAAAATTGCAATTCATAGCAAACACTGTTCAGTCAAGGATATAGCTACATTATTGAAGCTTTATCGATAATTACAATGAAAATAATAGAATGTAGTGAAATGTTTACAAAAATAAGAGCTAGTTGATATTAAATGCTTTTAGGGTTTCGATCCATAAGTTGTCACTTTCATTGAGTAATTACAAACACGACCACAACCTTCAGTATGGCGCCACTAGTGATAAATTAAATAGGATTTTTGCAAATTGCACATTTATGTGTGGCAAGGCGCAATGTTACACAATGATTTATCGCTGCTGTAGCCACCGCAGCTATCAAAATCAAATGTTTTGAGTAATTACCTGAGTCATTGGGTGGCGTATTTTACGTGTATTTAATGTTGAGTTAATTAAAAGTATAGTTTGAGTTTAAGTTAGGTTAACCAAACCTGACCTGTATGTATTGAAGAAATATCTTTAGCAGGACCAGAGAAATTTTAAGATGACAAAGATATTGTAGCATAACAGCAAATCACTGTTTTTAAAAAAGAAATTTTACTCTGCACAGTTTTGTTTCTGCTTTTTAATCTTTTATTTAAAAGATGGCTAACAGGAAAAAAATGGTTGAAAGATGAGTTGTGTCCTATAGTGTTAAAAATGGGATAAAGAGCCTACTATAATATGGTTTGACTATGGTATTTTTCTAGAAATGAAGTGTTTTTGGATTTGTCTCAGACCATATGTATATATAAGATCAACCTTTGTGGGCATGTTTAAAACATTATTTTCCATTTCTTGTATAACTTCATACCTTATCAAATGGTCAACTGTTTCCCAACACACACAAAAGGATAACGTACTTGCCCTTGATATTCAAATGACATGAAGATCACACGTTGGAGAAAATTAATTTTTTTCATAAGCATGAACAATCACACAAGGATCGAACTAATTACAATCTCCATAGAAATAAGAATTTTTTTAACATTTTATAGACCTAAAATACTGCAGTGATCAACTTTAAAATTCAATTATAGGAATATTCGTTTTTAACCAAAAACTACAAACTCGTTAAAATGAATCATTAATTCCATAACGGAAACAAAAATTAAAAATACTAAACGTGTTGTCATATAAGGGACTAAAAATTTGTTTTTATACAAATATATATCTTTGCTACCTTTCATACCACTACCATAGCCCCCTCCCCAAGGGTTCGATTTATAATGCTAAAAATCTGGTTTCGTTATCTACGGTAGTCAGAGCACAGATATCCCAGATATCCAATTATGTAGATTTGTGCTTAAAAACAAAGTTTTACCAGTATCTTTTTTAGTCTAGATACTTACTAAGTCGCTGACTCAGCTTCATCAGTATCTTTTTTATTCTAGATACTTACTATGTCGCTGACTCGTTTATGAATATTATCCCTTTCGTGTTTTACAAACAAATTAGTTAATTCATTATTTTAAAGAAGTGTGTTCAATCATATTTTCAATGTAAAACATAGAACTTTGTTTGATATATTTATTTTAAACTGATTTTCATAATTAACTTGATGATGCCTTTACTGCCAAAACCATGATTGTGAATAAATGATGTATTTGTGAAACGTACAATTGTTTTGTTTTTCCTCAATTCTGTAACTATGGAGTTTCAGAAATTACCGACGGTTTCAAATATTAATGATATAATTTTTGTAAGCTTCACTTTAAAAAGTAAATACTTACGTTGAAGTCTGTAATTAAATACTGACGTCATGTGCTGCCTGTAATTATACTTAGATTTACATACAAAGCAATAATATGTAATCAGTTAAAAAGTATTATGAAATGTTGTTTACAATTTTGTCTTTGATGAAAATATGATTTGTTTTAAGTTTAATAGGAGTTGTTGAACTAGTTGATATTCGTTCCGTTTGAAGAAATGTGTCAGACTAATTGACATCAAAATGAGAGTTTCAAAATAGAAACCGAAACATTTATAAATGCGAAGATTTATTATTGTTAATTCAGTAATTAAATACAAAAGCATTAAAGAATTGATTTCCAAGATTCCGCATCGTATACTTAAATTTAGGAACCAGTGTACATCTATGAGACACTTCTCCGTCTACTTGTTCACAGGCGTCATCTATGGGTAACATTTTCAGAAGTTATAGAGAGGATCCTCTTATCGACGAGGGCACAGATCAAAGGTACACTTTACTATAGGAATGCTATGACAATACTTCATGAACTACTACTGTGTGATGCTGGGAATATAAGTATATTTTAGTTGTATTTTCAATAGATTTAAAAATATAGTCCAACACATATGTTTCACGTAGCACTTGCGTACGTGGTAATAACTAAGAAAGTAAAGTGAATATTAATAAAGACTTAAAAACAAGAAAAGCCATTATTTCTTTTACAACAAGTATGGGAGAAACGCATGTCTTAATAATCGCTTGTTTGTGTTGCTCAACGACTAATATTTGTTTGTGATTTCTTAGTAATCTAGAAGAGGAGGATTACAGTCCCCTTGTTTCATATTACTTTTCTAAATAATGAATAAAGATGTATGGGATCAACGTTGAGTTATGTTTTCATTCTAAATGCAAATTAAAATTCAGTATTTGATAAACACTTTTTACTAATATATTTTCGTTAACATCCTACCATGCGCATAGAGCTATTTGCTCAAGACTTGCATTTCGTTCTTGACTGTTGCAGTCCACGTTATTTCTACAGTGTTGTTTTTATTAGATCGTAAAGCATGAATAAAAATCCTTAAATCTTTCGGTCTGGTATTATAATTTCATTTTTCAATTTTTGGACTAATCTGCTTTGACATATAGAAGGTCAAATTACATAGAACACACGTTTTCTTTCTTTTTTTCTTCAGTGAACCCAATGTGTCAGATGGGGGAATCGACATACCGGACATTATTGGTTCTTATGGTCCTTGGCAGAGAAAAATTTTCTTATTGGCTTTCTTTGCTTCTTTTCCCAACTCCTGGAATGCTTTGGTCATGAGTTTGTTCGCTCCTAATGTGGAACACTGGTGCAGACGACCAAATCTTTACAACAACTTTTCCAATGCCGAGTGGAAGAACTACGCTATTCCTCTAATAGACGACGGCTCGAGATTTAGTCGATGTAAAATGTACGACTTAGAAACAGTGGACTACCTCCAACCTCCAGATCACAACCTTACTATCGCATGCGCTGCTTGGGAGTACGATCACTCCCAGTATAGGGCTACCATTGTCGAAAAGGTATTTTATAATTTATTTCAATACAGATTTGTTTTTGGATGATAAAGAGTATCATAGTGGAATTTTGTTGATGAAAAGTAAAGTGTTCAATGTATTGTTAGATAGTAAACGCTATTGTCAGCGGGTACGAAATAACAGCGTGTAAATTATATTTATACCAAATATCTGTGAAATCTATATAAACACGATTTTAATTTCATTTAAATGCTTAGTGCAGAAAGCCTATTCTTTATACAGTACTTTTGTTTCTTCAGTGGAATTTAGTTTGTTCGAAGGAATGGCTGGTGTCTCTAAGCCAGTCTATTTATATGGCTGGGTTCCTAGTGGCAGTGTTCGTGTTTGGGCAGCTTGCAGACAGGTAAGATTACAAACTTATTACAAACTTGCAGGAATTCACTAGATTATTCGCTTTGATCTAAATATTTGGTATCCATAAAATATTAATTGAAAAACATTGTGGTTAGTCCAGAAATTGCTAATAAGAAGGAAGTTAATCATCAACAACAGATTTTTAAAAATCTTAAGTTTGAGAATATTGTTTCTTAAAATACAGAGCTTTCCATGCGATACCTCCAGAGTCAATACTTGGACAAAATAATACAGTTTTGAGCAACGACTGACGATAATAATAAGTACAGAGTCTGTGTTATAAGGGGAAAGTGTTATCAACAGTGCCCCTATAGAACCAAGTTTTTGTAATTTCCAGTCTTATCTAACAACACTTCCAAACAATTTAATCAAACATCTGTTGGGCAAAGAGATCTGTTTATTTGATTATTTTACACGTGCGTACAAGAATCAAGTTGCCTATATACAGCTTTTAAAGTGAGCTTAAGCAGTTTTCTTCAACTTTCAGTCCTGCAAAACGTATAGTAATGTGTCCAATATTCGACCAATGACGACAGAGTGTACGTTTACTAACATTACGTTTCTATTTGACGGCAGACTTAGAGTATTGTCGTTTACTAATTTTACGTTTTTATTTGACGGCAGCCTTAGGGTGTTGTCGTTTAGTAGCATTACGTTGTTATATGAAGGAAAATTGTCAAATTCTATAGTCATGTTTCTCTCTGAAGAAAGTCATACCAAGTCAACTTTTACTATGCTCACGCTTATATGTGGTACCAAAGCAGCCAGTAGCCACAACCAAACAAATGTAATATTGACCAACTAGATGGAAACTAAATGCAGTTCACCTTTCATATTATGGTTTAAACAAATACTAGAAGTTTCTAATTACAACAGATCACACTGGACTCTACGTCTGTTTAACTTTTGGTTCTTGTGCAATTTAAAGTTGTAGTACTTTTACCGAAACAGTCTTTTAACTTTGCTTTATTAGAACAGATAGCGTGAGCTAACTGTGGAAGTCTTATTTTACTGGATTGAGTAAAAAAATATAGAGTTATTTGCTATTAAAAACGTTTCACGTGTGGATTCTTGGAAGAAAAAACTCGGTTCTTGTTTCTCATCAAACAGCATTTCTTGTCTTTAGAGACCTCCGCTTATCTAAGTATTAGCGCCTACTTTGTGACACACACAAGGGGAAGAGGTAAAAAAATTGTGATATTTGACATTAGAAGTGAACGTAATTTATTTCACATTCATATAACACGTTGTTTCTATATACAGGTTTGGACGTCGCCCGATTATTTTGGTCTGTATAACTTTGAATATTGTTGCTGGATTGCTTACTTCGTTTTCCACTAACTACGTGATGTTCACCATTTTGAGGTTTATTGTGGCCCTTGGTGTTGCAGGAAGCTGGACTACATCTTTCGTCCTCGGTAGGTGGAAATAGATCAATTCCCCCACAGATAAGTTAGATACACATGTTTGGAAAGGCTTTATGAAAAGGACAACGACTTTTGTTCTTGGCAGTAAATTCAGATCACTATCCTTAGAGGTACGTTAAAAAAAATGTGTTTGTAGAGTCGTTAAGAAAGGGACAATGACCTTTGTTCTTGGCATTTAGATCCAGGTCATTGTCTTGTTACTGAAGGCAAGGTATTAGATAAGCTATTGACGGCACATGCTGGTTACATTACATAAAATATCAACCAGGTATGTATTGGTTACATTACATAAAGAATCAACCAGGCATGTGTTGGTTACACGACATAAAGAATCAACCAGGCATTTGTTGGTTACATTACATAAGTAATGAACCAGGCATGTGTTGGTTACACTACATAAAATATCAACCAGGTAGGTATTTTTTATGTAATGTAACCAATACATGCCTGGTTGATTCTTTATGTAATGTAACCGAATCAACCAGGCATGTATTGGTTACATTACATAAAGTATCAACCAGGCATCTTACATAAAGTAGATAACAGGTCTATGTTGGTTACATGACATAAATTTTCGTAACTTTACGTAACATGGCAACCGGGAATGTTTTGGCTGCGTTATAGAAGAAGCCACAACATTTTTTGTACTTTTGTTGTTGTGATTTAAAACTTCTTTTTCGTATTTACAGTTATGGAGGTTGTAGGAGCGAAACAACGACCTGTTTTAGGAGTTGCTATTCAGCTGGGTTGGGCTACAGCCTACGTCGTACTTGGCGCCATTGGCTGGCTCTTAAAGGACTGGTTCTACATTCAGTTGTCCATCAGTATACCTTCTATAGCAATGGCACTTTCATGGTGGTAAGATTATTTTTCATTATTTATAAAACCTTGATATATTCCAACATTTACTTGCTTCTTAGTGACATTGGTTAATTACAGTTTTTTACAATTAGCTGCTATTAAGCATGACTTGTGTAGCAATGAAACTCCATCAATGGTAGAATGTTACAATGATATTAAATACATAAGGATCAAAAAGGTTGTTAACTCAAATTTTGCTGAATAAGAAAGGTCAGTCTGTCTAAATTGCTCAAGTTTTATCAGTTTCTTATTTTGTCATTATTCTATATTGCAGTTATATTCGTAAACCTTCTTTGTAGGATTCTTCCGGAGTCTCCTCGCCTGTTACTGACACTTGGGCGATTGAAGGAAGCAGAAGAAGTATTACAAAAAGCTATGAAAGAGAATGGGAGGAATATATGTGATCTCAAGACGGTGATTAAACAAATAAAAGAACAGATTGACAATGTTCGTATTAATATTTTTCAAAGTATGATATTACAACATTGGTTGTTACAATCATAAATAATATTCAACGTTAAACTGGTACACAATTAAAAACATTTTATTTAGGCCTATGTAGAGTCGTCAACTTTTTGAAGTCCATAGATAGGCCTAAATAAAATGTTTTTAATTGTGTAC